TTATTCTTTAATACCTACTGTATCTATGGGTGTTGACATAAGTTTGACTTTATGTTAGACACCAAGTCACATAAATGAAACATGATGAATATTTTTCTCCAATAGACTCACCTTTCTTGTTTATATTCTTGATCACATTTCTCAGCTTTAACTTTTGACCTGATTTCAATAAATCATGGAGAAGTAAAAAAGCCAACTCATGCAATATTAGCTATACCTATACCCCTTTTCTACTCTTGTGTGAGTAATTTGAAAAAGGGGTTCAGATCAGTAATGATTTATGTGGCATTTTGTTAAAACTATGAAATCTTAACAGCCTTTATCTCTTGTAGTATAGATTTCACTTGTTGTATAGATTTTTGGAGAGGTGAAACATAAGTTATACATTATAGTGTATCTTTTTTCTTTATGATAGATCAATTGAGGTTGAAGCAACATGGTCACAGACAGTGGAAGTATTTTTACCCATATTTTTCCCTCTCCTTTCTACTCTCATAGTACATTGTTATGCCACAATACATTGCCCATTGAATGACATTAACTAATTGTCCATGTACTGCATCCCTTTAAATGGGAGTTGCTTAGAGTCAGGAATTGTGTCCCATTTGTGTTTGTTTCCCCAGTGGCTAACAGAAAACATCCATCCATGAAGCAGTCGGCAAATGTGCATGGAATTAGGTTATGTCATTCAAATTATTTTCATTCTTATTGATTTGACTCCATAGAATTAAAAAAGTGCCTTTTTCTATCTTCAACTGAATATTACATTACTAAAAACTGGAATAAAACATTGTTTCACATCAAAATAATGACCAAATGAAATATCTGTATCTATTCGATATCTTGTACCTGAATCTACATATATCTATGTCTGTGTCTGTACTTACGTACATATCTACATTTAAGGAAGACATTTTGGAATTCTAGAGTAAGTACGTCATTGGATCAACACTGGTACTCAAAAAATTGAACTAAGCTTTAGAGAAATAATTGGTACAATATTCCTATCACAAAAATAAAGTCCATATTGTATGCTACTTGTGTAGGAATATGCAGTAATGCCCTATTTTTGGTTCTGGTTACTCCTAACTCTAGTCCACTTTCCACTGTTTATTCATAATTCTCTCTCTAAATGTAGATCTGATGATGTCACCTCTTAATTGTAGCTTCCTAATTTGCCAGGGAGGATCCTTGATGATTTTGTTCTTGTTTATCTCTCAGTGATAATCACTAATCATTTATCCCATTATCCTCCCTGCCTTCTGCCACATAAAATTCTGTTTATCCCCCCAACAGACCATGGTGTTTCAGAGCTCTATGACTTTTCCCAGATAATCTTTCTGTCCAAAATGCCCTTTTCTGCTATATCTTACTAGAAAACTCAAGTCATCCTTAACTCAAACCATCAGTTCAGAAGATTTTCCTCTCCTGGCAGAACAAATCACACTAAATCCGACACTTGCTTCCATTTTTACATATAGCAGGTGGTGGTTTAATATTTGTTTTCATTTTTTTCTCTCCCACTACTATAAAATCTTTGAAGGTCAGGTTGTGTCTTTGTATCTCTTTATCTCCAGAACCACTCATACCATCTGGGATACAGCAGGTGCTCAATAAATATATGTAGAAAAATTCTTTCACCTTCACAACCACACATGTTTGCAAATGAGGTTGCTGGAGACTGAGAAGATTGAACAACCTGCTCAAAGTCATACAGTTAATGAATGGCAGATACTTTACTTCTAGTCCAGGGCTTCTTCACCAACTTTTGCAGTGTGCCTATTTCTCCACAAAAATCCAAAGAACTCTTTATGCTTAAATCCATCCTCTTAGAAAATTGAGTCCTCGTGGCTGCTGCAGTGTAACCCATGCCTGCCTGAGACATGGGTTTTCTCTGTTCTTTTCCCGTCTGTGAATACCTCACCACTATTTGAATTGGCTCAGGCTTGGCTCGCATCTTCTTTGTCTAGTTTGATGTGTTTGACTTTCTCTGATCTCAATTGAGATTATTCTTTGATTTTTTTTCCTTTTCTTTTCCCGTGATCACAGTCAGTGTCTGCCTGGCATTGTCAGTCTTCTTACAGGAACTTGCTGATATCCCCACTTTTCAGTAGTACTTCCTGCTTTTTCACTCATTAACATGACTATTGCTAGACTATCTTTAACCCTTCAGATCTTGACAGGTCCAGGCAAAAGCAGATTTAAAACATCAAGGAATATAATTTCTCAGGTGTATCTAATGCTGTGATAAGAATTATTCATAATTCCCTTCACATATATTGTTCAAGATGAATATATAAGGTACTAATAATGCTGTAAGAAACAATAAAAAGAGAGGATTCTTTGAGACTTCATTTATGTTTTTAATAGTTACAACATATTATTAAAAGTTGCTCAGCAATTTTTCCTTGTTTTTTTTTTTAATAAAGATTTATTTATTTTTATACAAGAGGTAGGGTACAGGCCAGAGGTGCGGGAGGGTGAGAGGATTCAATAAAGACAGAGCGGAAAGCAGAACAGGCAGAAGGACCAAAATGCACTGCTGAGGGGAGCAGCAGGCACAGGCACGACAGGAGAAGTCTGCCACGCCATGTGGGAGTCTCCCTGGCCGGCCGGGAATTGAACCCAAGCTGCAGAGGCTGAAGACAGCTTCACAGCACTGCGCTCAACCCTCTGCACCACCAGGAAGGCCCTGCTCCTTGTTTTCAAGTCAGACTTTTACTTTCTGTAGCATATTGCTTTGTTGTGTGTTCACAGTTACATTCCCCATAACTTCTCTGAAACTGATCTTTCTAGCTTGCCTTTCAAATGAAACTTTTCTCCATTTTTTTCATTTCTGTCAACTGCTCCTCCCACTTTTTCTTAATTTTAGGTCAAGAGACTTTTTAAAATTTCATCAAGTCATCTGATAGTTATTTCTTGGCATTTCCTCTCTATTATCCACTAAGGAGACCAAGACATCCAGGGCATCAATGTTGGGTAATTGTTCATTGAAAATCTTTCTCAGATACAAGAGTCCTTCAGCCACACTTTGTTCTAATACAGGGTCCCCAAGTCTCCATTTAGTATAATAGTCAGGTCCTGGCCCTCATCTGTACATATATCAAGCCACACTGTATTGCACAGATAGGTTAATTTTTCCAAATTATGGCTTCTATTATGTTATTATGCCTGTTACTGCCTATTTATTAAGAGCAAACTGTTTAGTCTACTAGCAATTCAAAAAGCAGCTTTTTTTTCATGTTTCCTCCATCTGGATTTGCCCTTTTTTTTAAGCTACTTCCCTCATTCATCCGAGTAACCCTTCATTCTTCAACAGCCCACTTTAATGTCACTTCTTCTGTGAAGCCTTTTCTGAACTAATTAATCATCTCATTCTCTGTGTTGTATAACATCCATCATATTATAGTACAGTGAGCTGTTTATCTTATACTTTTGAGTTCTTTAAGGTTAGGGACTAGGGATGAGTTACATATTTATTCCCAGAGAACAACATTACTCTGGCATAGAGTAGAAATTTGATTCATATTTGTTTAAACAAATGAATTTTTTCTTTTACATTTATTATTATCAATGCTGTACATTTATGCACACTTAACTCTGAAAAACCTTTGCACTATTCTTCAAAAACTCAAATTCAATATAATTTTGAAAATAGTACACTACAAAATATTATATTAAATGTTACTGGGACTGTTTTAAATGTAAGTACACATGTAGCAAATTTAAGAAGTGTATATACCAGAGTGGTAGGATTTATTGTTACTATTAACATCAGTCTTCTTTCAACAGATTTTAAAGTTCCTCATTTTGCTTATTGTACTGGCTTTTGCACATGAACAGGGTGCTGTGACTGAATGAGTTATAATTTCATGCACCCTGTTCATCTCCTGGTTCAATACTAGTTGACTCTGAGCATGAGTTCAAATTAGCTAGAGCAGTTTAAACTTTGCAGTCTTTAATCTCTGTGAAGATACTTCTCAGGTCTCCACTATCTAGGGGCTATTTAGTTTTTGTTACCTCTTGCAACTTTTTTTCTTTTCCTCCTCCCTTAGTGAAAGCAGGAGGTCAGCAGGACTAATGACTGCCAACATTTTTGTCAACAAGATCCAAGCTGGTTCTTTAAAGCAGGCTTAAAACAAAACAACAAAGAAATACTTTTCCTTTACACTTTATTTCTAATGTGACAAATCAGCTTCTATTAAAGCAGAATACTAATGTTTCAACATTCAGAGAATAGAAGTCTCACACTTTTCCCTACTTTATGGTAATGAATTATTAACACCTATTGATTTCCATTTTATGTCTATTATTCTGAATGCATATATATATAATATCTTTGGATATTCTATTTTGATGGCTATAGTACCTTTTGTTATTTGTTGTGATTTTTTTTTTGTTGTGATATCTTAAAGTTATTTCAGAAAATTTGTGTATGTGTGTGTAAGAGAGAGCGAGCATGCACACTAGTGCTAGTGAGAGAGAAAGGGAGTGTCAGGGAGAGAGAAAATGAGCAGTTAAAAAGGTATCAGACATAAAATGTGTGAATAACTAAGAAACACAAAAAAGTCTAAAATTTAGTAGTACACTTATATTAAAATTCACTAAAATGGTTATTTAAGACTGAAATGTAGTCTTGAGCCTCCAGAAGGGACAAGCAAGAAAAGCTTAGTCAGTTTCACTTATGTGTCCCACTGTCCAAATTAGCTTTAACCACTGTTGAAGCTTAGAGTCTACTGTTTTGATCTATTTTGGACTCAAAGAAATCCATTGATTTTGTTTCATGTGCTCAAATCAACCACCTCTATTGGAGAGTAACTTAAGGGGCATTTAATTTACTGGGTTTTCTTTAGAGTTCAGTCTCACCACGTAGGCTGATGTAACAATTACATCAAGTGTACTTACAACAATTAAATAACACACATTCTGTTCATGTTGTCATACACATTCTGTCATAACCATGAATCACCTATGATATTGCCTCGTCTACTGTATTGCAGGAAAAACAGAGATTTCTCACGGATGTTCTGCATGAAGTCATGCTGCTAGACGGCTTGGCCAGTTCCCATCCAGTATCACAGGAAGTGCTACAGGCAACTGATATTGACAGGGTGTTTGACTGGATCGCATATAAAAAGGTGGGAATAGATAAGACCCAAGTGCCAATTGGATATTTCACTAACCTGCAGTAACCAAACTATTTCATGCTAGATATATTATATTCTTCTTTTCCTCCTGGCAGATAGAAATGGACTGTGAATTAGAAAACAGAAAAATGAGGGTCATGTCATTTTATGAGATAGGGCTTTGCTTTATAAATCAGTAAAATGGAGATGAATATTTGCCAAATAATGCATAGAAGTATTCATGAGTAAGTGTTTGGAGACCTGATACAAAATTGCTGCACGAATGGTGTTATGTAAATGTCAGTTATTATTATTATTATTATTATTATTAATAAGAGAGTTGACCTATATGGTGACAAATTATGTTTCACGAATGTCCTTTAAATGTTTGTTTATTTTGATTGGTTGATTCAGATGGGTATAGGCAGTGACATGACATATGTATTTTACAAGCATTATTTAAGGACAGTTCTGGAAATTAGTTAGCATAATGAAATTTTAAAGATTAGATTCTGAATGGAAAAGATTTTGAACCAATGTCTAAAACATAGAAATAAGGTACATTATATACTTGTTGTCCATGGTATTAAGATTTTTGGATTAAGATTTTTAAGATTAAGATTGTTCATTTTATTGCCATATCTTAGTTGGTCTTATCTTAACATGAGTATGCCCTATGTTAAGAATTATTAAGTGCTTACCAAGTATTAACCACTGAAAGGTGTATACTAGTTCTATTCTTTATTTCTATGACATTGTATTTTTTAAGATTCGACAGATAAATTATAACATACAGTATTTGTCTTTCTCTTAATTATTTCACTTAGTGTAATGTCCTGATTAATCCATCCTGTCATAATTGGAGGGATTTCCTTTTCATGACTGAATAATAATACTTTCTTCATCCATCCATTTATCAAAGGACATTTAGAATGCTTCCATAACTTAACAATTGTGAATAAATGCTTGATGAATTATGGGGGTGCAGATATCTCTTTGATATTTGATTTATCTTCCCTCAGATTTATATCCAGGAGTAGGATTGCTAGATCATTTGATAGTTCTATTTTTAATTTACTGGAGAACTTATATTTTGTTTTCCTAATGGCTGTAGTAATTTAAATTCTAACCAACAATGAATAAGTGTTCTCATTTCCCCATTTTCACCAGCATTTCTTATCACTTATGTTTTTTGATAATAGCCATCCAAAAAGCTGTGCAGTGATAGTTCAGTGTGGATAACTCATTGTGCTTTTAATCATTTCCCTGATGATTAGTGATATTGAATGCCTTTGCATATACCTGTTGGTGATTTGTATGTCCTCTTTGGAAAAATGTCTCTTCATGCCTTTTGAGTGTTTTTTAAATTGGAATATTTGTATTTTTACTATTGAATCACATAAGTTCTTTGTATATTTTGCATTTTAACCCCTTATCAAATGCATGGTTTGAAAATATTTTCTATTCTCTAGGTTGATATTTGTTCTCTTTATTGTTATTTTTTTATTGAGTTAACATTGATTTCATACTGTATATGATTCAGAGGTATAGTTTCATACCTCTTTAGATGTATGTTAAGACACCATTCCCAATCCCATGGTATCCATACCCCTCCACCATAATCCATTTGGAACCCTCCCCTGCATATTGCCTTTTAACTTCATTGATTTATCCCTTGTTGGGAAGAAGCTTTTTAATTTAATATGGTTTACCTTCTTTTTGGTGTTTATAGAGAAATTATTGCCAAGTCAAGGATCATGTTTCAAATATCTTCATCCAGAAGGCTTACAGTTTCAGGTCTTATATTTAAGTCTTTAACACATTTTGAATTAAATATTGTGTATGGGGTGTGGCAGGGATTTTGTTTCTTTTGCATGGGGATATTATTTTTCCTAGCACATCGACTGAAAAGACTATGCTTTCCCCGTTGCATGTTCTTGGTAGCTCTTAGGAAAATTTGTTGACCATATGCATGGATTTTGGTCTGGGCTCTCTGTTATTCTTCACTAGTTCAATATGCCTGTTTTTTTGACAGTCAAGTACCATCCTGTTTTGATGAATATAGCTTTGTAATAATCAGAAAATATACCTTCAGGCTTGTTCTTTCTTAGTATTGCTTTGATTATCTGGGGTCTTTTGTGGTGCCTTGTTAGAAGTTTTAGTTTTTTTCTACTACTGAGAAAATTACATTGGAATTTTGAAAGGGATTGTATTGACTCTTTAGATCACTTTGGCAAGAATAGGTTTTTTGATGATATTAATTCTTCCAACTCATGAATATGAAATTATCTTGTGTGTGTGTGTGTGTGTGTGTGTGTTCTTCAACATCTATCATTGTGTCTTAAATTTTCAGTATAGAGGTCTTTCACCTGCTTGATTAAATTTATTTTAAATGTGGTCATGTATTGCTTAATATTGGAGCTACATTCTGATAAATGCCTCTTAGGTGATCTCTTTGTGCAGCTATTATAGTGTATAATTACTAAAACCTAAATGGTAGAGCATATAACATACCTAGGTTATATGGTATAACCTTTTGGGACCACTATCCTATTTGTGGTCCATCATTGACCAAAATATCATTAAGTGACACACAACTGCATTTTAATGCTTTTCATGCATTTGCAAATAGAGCTGCTTTATTTCCCTTTCAGAAGGTCATTGTTCATATATAGGAAAACTTATTTCTATATGTTGATCTATTTTATCCTGCAGGTTTACTGAATTCATTTATTAGTTCTAATTTTGTTTGTGCATAGTGTCTTTAGGTTTTTCTATATATAATGAAATCTTTAAACAGTTGTAAGTTTACTTTTTGATTTGGGTAACATTTCTTTTTCTTGCTTAATTTCACTGGCTAGACCTTCTATTATGCTGAATAGAAATTATGAGAATGGGCATTCTTGTCTTGTTTCTGATCTTAGAAGAAAACTTTTTACTTTTCACCATAGAGTCTAATGTCATCTATGGACTGGTCTTCATTTCTATCATGTATTTTTATGCTTTTTGTATTACTACAACTGTTGTCTTTATTGTGTGTATTCAAGTGATGATAGGATTCATCCTTTGAAATGAAGACTGTTCAAGAAAAACATTTATTTTTTTCTTTAACAGCATGTTGAGATATAACTGAAACAATGAATTGCACATATTTAAAAGATGCAATTTGATATATATGTATATACAATGAAATCATTACAATCAAGTGAATGAACATATCTATCAATATGAAAATTTTCTTATGCTCTTTTTAATCCTTCCTTCCATCTTTTCTCCCTCTTCCATTGACTATCTTTTCACTATAGATTAATTTGCATTTTCTAGAATTTCACATGAATGGAGATATAAGTATATATATACATTTTAACCTGCTTTTTGTAACTTTACATTATTTTTGGGATATATTTATGTTATAGAATATATGGATATACATAATTTGTGTATTCACCTAGATATTTCAGTTTTCTAGTTGGTGGCTATAACAAATATAGCTATTATAAACATATGTGTGCAAATCTTTAAATGAGTATTTGCTTTATTTCTCTTATGGAAGTAGCTAGAAATAGACTGTCAGATAATACAATAGTTATGTTTATTTAACATTTTAAAACAACACTAAACAAAATACTTCTACCATTGTATCCTGGTACTTTTCCATTGACAGGGTAATCAGAGCTACAGTTTCATCACATTTTCACAAACACAATCTGGGCATAGTAAGTCTTTTAATTTGAGATATTGTAATGGTATCTCATTGTGCTTGTAAATTATATTCCCCTAATAACTAGTGATACTGAGAATTTTTTTTTTGTTTGCTTTTTTCTTCTTGTATGTCTTCTTTGGAATAAGCTCAGTTCAAGTCCTTTGCTAACTTTTACAAAATTGGGTTGTTTGTTTTCTTATTGAGTTTTGAGGGTCTTATATACTCTGACTACATGTCCTTTACCAGATATCTGATATGCAAATACTTTTAACCCCAAATTTTCACATGCCTTTAATTTTCCTAACTGTATGTTTGTAAATGCAAAAGATGATTACAGAGAGTTAAAGGGTAGGGACCAAATATCAGATAATAAATTTTGTGGATTTGAATTTAAGAACTGTGAGTGCATTTGAAGAATTATTAAGTGATTTTCAATATGGATAGACTCAAGAACAGTGTAAGAAGGGAAAAAAAAAACTTCTAGACAAAGACAGACTGTAAGACTCACACTTGAAAGCAAACCATAGATCTGAGATACTCAGGAGGTGGGGAGACGGGAGAGTAGAGAGCAGGGGACAGGGGAGAAGAGCATGGTGAAGTGTGCTGGAGGACTATGGGTTCTTTGGTGGTAGGAAAACTAGGGTGACTACACCTGAGGAATACAATCCTATATTGTGAAACAAATAAAGATGTTTAATATAAGTAAATAAATTACTGCAACATCAAAAAAAAGGAAAAGAAAAAAAACTTCTAAAATTACATACATATTTTTAGAATGGGAAAAGGAAAAATAAGAACTAGTCAGTAAAAACAGTTAGATGCAGTGATATAATAATTTTCCATTTTAATAGTAAATTGAACATGAGGGTGCTTTTATCCTAAAAGTGTAATGGAAACAGGAAAATACTGTCATTGATAAAAGGACTGGAAAAGATGGATTGAGATACTCTCTTTGCTCTAAAAGCACAAAGGGAAATAAGAATCAATGACCCAATGACCTGGATGATTAAAGTGAGTGAATGCTCATTAAATTTACATATGATGTCAAATGGGAGAGGATTGCTACAAGCTTGGGAGAGAGGAACAGCTTTCAAGTGACAAGCAACTTTTACAAGGATTCTTTAAAAACAAGAATACATTTTAGCAATTCTTATATCAAGGTTGATATATTCTAGAGATCAAAGGAAATTGCATAGTGCAAAAAGAAAGACTAAGCAGAGAAAAAGGGGTCATGATGAATAAGAATATAAAAATGAGGGAGGGTATCAAAAAAGATTATAGGTCTACCATTTTCATCTTTTGTTCCTTG